AGAGTCGACTCCCCCGGACATAGCTACTATCACTACATTTAAATGATGATGGTTCATGAAGTTAAAGCTTATTTTTTTGAATTTTGAAATAGAACAGTTTATCATACCTTTATCACCGTATTGTGGTCTTGTATGATGACTTAAAAAACGATGAGAAAGTTTAAGCATTCTTAAATATTTTTTTGTTTGTCCAAATATCATGATTTACTTCAATAAGTGTAAAGTTAAAGGGGAACAAGCCAAGTAAAAGCTAATGATTATCATTTCTGAAATTTGAGTGACCAATGTTCTTGTGATTGGTTGATCACATTTCATCCGATGATTTTTTTTTTTGATTATGCCGGCAGGTTATTTCAAGGAGGTGAATTTTTTTAAAACCATTAAATATTATTTTACTGTAATATTCAAAGATTTGTTTATAACGTTTATGATATATTTACGTTAGGAACTCATATTGACTAACCTTAAGCAAGCTGGATATATTACATTAATGTGTGGTGACGGACCAAACGTTGTTGGTGCTCTTAAGCAGGCTCATGTTGAGTTGTGCTTCTTGACGGCAAGCCTGAAAATTGCTGAACATCAAAAAATACAGCGATTTAAAGATGTATATGAAAGTCAATTAAAATTTACTTCACAGTTCAACATGCCACCTCCACCCCAGCAATTGCGCATTTATTCCCACATATTACCAACAACTTCAGCAACAAACTACCTCAGGTTTGGTGTCTTGTTCTTAATTTGAAAATTATTTTTAATTCGTAAATAATTTTAATTTTTATTCACTCTTCTAAAGATGAATCAACTTGCGGAAAATCTTTTACAAGATTTCGATGATGAACCACCAACAATTAAGTTAGGAGACGCATCAGTAGTTGCACCTTTTACATCTAAACTTTCCAATGTGGTAGCAAGTAAGGGTTCTTAGCCTTGTTTGTGATTTATGTGATCAGAGCTATGCTCGTCATCTGTTAACCAATTTTTTTTCTGACAGTTGCAAACATTGTCCGTCAGGGTCGTTATACATTGGTTGCCGCTATTCAGATGTACAAAATTTTGGTTTAATTTTTGCATATAGTTTAAGCGTTTTATATTTGGAAGGAATTGAACATGACTATTTGTAAGTTTTATATTACATAATTCAAACAATTTTGTAAAGCATTTTATTTATGATTTAGATATTTAATTTCTAACAACATTTTAGACAAGTTACTATTTCTGGCATGTTACTTGCCGTTTGTTTCCTTTGTGCTTCGAAAGCTAAGGTAATTTATTTATTTATTTAAGATATTTAGACGTACATTATGATTCGTGGCATCATTTTAATTTCTTATCCAACCAATTTTTCAGCCATTGATCATTATTTTGTGTTGATGCCCAGTTCCCTCCAACCTGAGAACAACCCTCGCGCAAACTTTTTGCCTATTTTTTTCAGACGGTAGATTTTTTTACGCCCTGACCTTCGACTCTTTCAGAAGGGGATTCCCTTTGGTTTTTAAGATGATGGTTGAGAATTGAGGTAAGAGACCCTTTGGTAGTCTTTTATCATTACTTTTATGCCTTTTATAACCATTTATTTGTTTTTTTTTTAGCTGTTTTGGACTTGGCTGATTTTTTTTTTTTTTGGTTTTGCAAATGGACAATATATTCTTGAATTCTGCTGTCAAATTACATAGGTACTGAAAAGGTGATAATTCAAATGTACGTACGAAGATACTGTAGTCCGGGAATTTTAAATTTGGGTGCGGCTGGTATCATGCGCATAAGCCGCAGCTCTTCAACGATTAATTTCAATCATTTATTTTATTTCGTTTAGCTAATTTAATTGATTTATTCGATTTATTCAACTTACTTGATATATTGATCTATCTGATTTATTTAATTGCGAGAAATATTATTATAAATAGCATTTTCGCCCCACTGAAAAGCATAGTTCAATCGAATAAATAAGCGCTGATTGTCTTTCCCATTGTTTACCAATACATATAATCATTCGTTAAAATCCCTAATCCAGATTCGTAATCAAAGTGGATCTTCGATCTAATAGTCTTGTACCGTTACGCCGCCCCGATTTTACCTTTGGGTAAAAGTCTGTCTTGATTGAACAAAATTTTCCCGTCGTATTGTGTGCGTAAGCCTTGTCTTGAGGTGTTGTGATTATCCTTTTGCCTTGTGTTTGTTCCGGGTGAATTGTTATTGCAGTATTGATTCAACCATCGATTGGTCACATGACTTATTCGAAGAGGCGACCGCCAGGTCAAATTCGATGATCATTTAAATTCTATGAATTTATAGAATTCAAACAAAAAAAATTCATCGAATTTGACCTGGTAGTTACCAAGATATCTTCGCTCAAAGTTGGAAAAAATTTTGGTACAGCTTTTGTTTTGAGATATTTTGAATTATTTTAAACTTTGCGCGAAGATATTTCAGCAACTACATGGTCAAATACGATGTACTTTTTTTTGTTTGAACTCTATGAATTCATAGAATTCAAACAAAAAAAGTTCATCGAATTTAACCTGGTAGTTGATAAGATATCTTCGCTCAAAGTTAAAAAAAAAATTTAATATAGCCATTTTGAATTTTTTTTTTTTAAACTTTGAGCGAAGATATCTTAGCAACTACCATGTCAAATTCGATGAACTTTTTTTGTTCGAATTCTATGAATTCATAGAATTCAACCAAAAAATAAATCCATCGAATTTAACTTGGTGGTCGCTGTGATAACTTCTTTCAAAGTTAAAGTATTGTAGGGGGTACGAATAATAAATTTGGGGGTACAAAAATATATATGAGAGAAAATGTACATTCCAAAAATAGATTACTATGAAATTCATAATCATCTATTTTTAGAATGTACATTTTCTCTTGCTGCACTCATATATAGTAACAAGATACGCTTTACTGTTACTAACTCAAAATACTTTATCAATTCGTAGACCATTATTACCAATATCAGATAATTCATTACCATCATTATTAAATCATGTATCAAATAATGATGATAATAATTCGTTAGCTGGTAAGAAACAATAAATTTTTATTATGTTCAATTAATTTTAATTGATATCTATATTAAAAGATGTCACTGCAGTAATGGATAATGAAAATTTTAATCAACTTTTTGAAAATTGAGTTAATTTTGCAAGATACACTATTAATAGTACGAGAACAACGTTGAAGGTAAAAGTTTATCATACATGTGTCAATTAAAATTATTTCATATATTAGTTTATTTCAATAAATTTTATTTTTCCGAGAATTTTTATTACCACTATTTGCTTTATTAAAATTAATTAAAATATGTACTATCAACTATACATCAATTAATATCGATATTCTCAATTTTTTTTAAATTTTTGTATAAACATAACTATACAAATTCAATATATATTTTAATGGCATCATATTAAATTCAAAAAAACCAATTCGTTAATTTGCCCAATAAAAAAAATATAAACACGCATTTTCCAACTAAAAAACTAAATTTACAAAAAAAAAACCCAAGACCTTTTTTTTTTTTTTTTTTTTTGAATAAGAATTATAATAAAAAATGTCAAATTTTTTTTTCATTCAAATACCTTTCTTTTTTTCTTTAATACAAAGAGCCTAATTTAACATGAGCCAAATGCAACTTTGTAACATGGATTAGCCGAAGATGAAAAAAAAAGGCAAAGAACTCAAGCTAAAATTTGCAATAATGATACAAGAAAAAAAAAAAATGAGAGTTGCAAAATGCAGAATCAAAAGAGGACTGAATGAATTTGTATAATAGACATATGTACTCTGCAAAAAAAAAAAAAAAAAATGCTACCGAGATTTGATGTGTACTTTTGTTTTAGAAAAAAATTTTTTTTTTTTTTTTTTTAAAAAAAGATTTTAATTCGAACAAAATGTTCTAAATTATAAAGCAAAAAAAAAATAGATAAAAAAAAGAAATTTGAACAAAAAAGAGATAAAGATTGATTAAAACTATATAAATAATGTCAAAAAAAGTAGATAAATAAATATAGCATGATTCCCCGGAAAAAATGTCTGTTGCGAGGAACTAATCCTCATCCTAATTGCTAAATATGTTCTTAAAATCTAATTACCTCTTTTGTCCAACTTAACGTTCATAAAAAAAATAAAATTCGTAAACAATTGTTTTTTTTTTAATTTTTTTTTTCCTTAATATTACTTTCTGATTTTTGAAGGTTTTGTTGCGGATTTCTTTAATTTGTCTTTACTACTACCACTAGACGTTGTAACTTTACTTTTACTAGGAGCTTTAGAAGCTACAGATGATTTGGAACCAACTTCAGTAGATTTTTTCACAGTTTGTTTTTTACCACTAGGAGCTGCATTTTCTGTTGAAGGAACATCAGGCTTACAGTTTGCCTTTCTACAATTCTTTGGACATCCATTAGAATTTAATAAATGTGATTTCCAACCTTCTTCGTTCGCTGGTTTAATTACTGTTTTACAAAGTGGACAACGAATAATATCATCTCTGATAGGCAAGCAAGTTTGTCTGTTGACATGTGCTAGATAATCATCAGCATTAATGACTTCACGACAGGTAGGACATTGTTTAACAAATTTGCATTTATCACAATCTTTTAACATATGCTCATCGAGAGTAGAAATTTCAAGGATCTACGAAGATATATTTATTTATTTTTAGATATAAAAGTATTATGTATTTGATTCATTGAAACAAAAATCATTTACTTACTATATTACATAAACGGCATTTGGTCAATACCGGACATTCAGTCCAATAATGATTCACTAAATTTTCTTCTGTGAAACTTTCGTTGTACACATCACAAAAGATGCAAACTCTATTAATTAAAGCAATCATAGTAAGAAAATAATAAAAAAATATAATAAAATTCTAAAATTTATTGCTTAGTTTGGAAAATAAAATTTTACCTGTCACCCTTTGATCCTTCGGCTGGGGTCATTTCTTCAGGTTCTTCACATAAAGTAGCATCAGTGGATTTAGAAGAGCTTTTCCTTGGAGGCTTTTTTTCTTCAGTTGTTGGTTCACGTCGAGATGAAACAGGTTTAGGTGTACTTTTTAAATTCTTTTTTGGTGGTACAGTATCATTTTTTGATCTTTTTGCACTTTGTTTTCCAGGAGCAGGTGCAGTTTTGTTTCCAGTTTTTGCTGGACTTTTTGTGGATGGTTTATCTTTTGGAGGAACTTCGGAATTATCAGGGACATTTTCAATATTTTCTTTTTTCCGTAATGACTCTTCCTCTGCTTCTAATTCTTCTAATTCTCTTAACTCTTGTTCAGTTAACTCTAGAACCTCTTCTTCAGGTTCCTGATGTTTTTTGGACGAATTTGCAATGTATTTATTATAATCATCCCTGATAAAATTATTCGTATTGTTAATTCTTGATTTTAATTCCATTAATTCTTGTTCAAGTCGTGTGACTGTTCCACGTTTAGCTAGTGGAATCTTTAACAATTCTTCATCCACTACAAGATCTTTAATTTCTTGCTTTTCTTTTTCCGCAACGACCTTAGGAGATGGAGGAGGAGAAGGAACTTGACCTGCTGTTCTTCCAGTAGTTTCTTCATATTCAGTAACCAAACTCCAAATATTTTCTAAAAGTATTGGTTTTATATCACTAATGAAAGGTTCAACTTTTTCTCGACCAGCACGTTTAACAACTTCAACTACTAATTTTACGGCGGAATCACGAACTTCGCCATTATTATTATTCAAGTAAGATACGGAGACTTGCATGACAGACTATTTAAGATGACAAAAATGATTTTATAAATTTATAATTATATAATTATATTAATAATTATATTAATTATAATTAGTTAGATTAATTATATCAACAATTTAGCAATTTTTTAAAAAAAATAATATACCTCAAGATTCAATCCAAGATCTTTATCGGATTTTCCTTTTGGAGGGTCTAACGCGATACCAAATTCTTCTACTAATCGCGTTACAAGTTCTACTTTAGCTTTTGAATGTTTTGCCGGTTGATTATTAAATTTAGCAGGTTTAAGAACCAAGGATGTCATTGAATGAATAGGACCATTATATGTTTTTGCAAGTAAGATAAATAAATTTATTGCACTTTGTTTTATACGTGAATTTGAATCTGATATTTTTCCAAATAATTGTGAATAGTTTTTGTCAACTGATTTCCATGTAGATGATGTTGGTATTTGATGATGAACACAAAATTTTGTAAGCACTTCCCAAAGATTTAATGCTTGTAAAGTAAGTTTCTCAGGATTATCATCTAAAGCTTCTTGTATGATTTGGAATGTTGCTTTTGTTAGTCCGACCTAAGAAACACAAAATTAAATATTTATTAAATAATATAATTAAAAAATTAGTATAATTAATTAAAAATATATAATTAATATATATATATATATATAATAATAATAATAATAAAAAGAACTTACTTTATCAATTCCTTCAACTTCTTTACCATCAAGATCTATATCGATTCTTTTTGTAATATTAGCTAAAGCAGATTCACGTAAAGGAAACTTTTTTGATAAAAGACATGCAACATCAAATTCTCCAAAATGTTGTATTGAATAATCAAATGCAGAACGTGCTAAATCAGAAAGTTCTTCAGGTTGATTTTCATTAGGGTCATTTAAAGGTGATGTAGGTATTGCTTCATGATTATCCTTAGACAAAGCAGGTAAAGGACGATCATCAACAGAAGAAGGTTCCCATTGAATTGGATCAATCGTTGGTGTAGTTGGCGTAGTAGGTGTTACAGGTTCAGGATGATGAGGCCTATCAATTGGAAAAGAACTACTACTATCTATTTGATTTATCGGAATATGTAAAGTTGGTGGTGGATGAACAACACTAGAATTAGACATTCTAGTCATTGAAGAATTACTGCTTGAACGACTTTTTTGACGTTGTGGAACATCTATATAACCGACAGGGACATGATGTTTTTCTTGATAAACACCTCCGGAAGGTACACCGGGTACACCAGGTACACCAGGTATATAAGGGACATATTCATTGTAAGGTTTACGACCATTCTATTTTAAACGAACAAAATGAATAACAATAACATGATAAATAACTAAAGTGTAAAAGATATAATATAAAATTTAAATGCATATAATAATATATAAAACGAAGTTGATACTATAAAATATATTCGACCCTTTAATTTATAAGATATAAGATATTATACTATAAACTTGACCTAATTTTCCTTTATCAATGTATAATAATAACAGTAATAGTAATTATTATTACCACCATTGGATAATATTTTTTATATTACTAGTAGGGACAAGAAGTATCGGATTTCGTTTTTTTTTCTTCTTTTTAAAATGAATTTCTTTTCTTTTTTTTTTAAATGTTACTAACCTCAGAAGCATCATCAGCTAATCCGATTATGTCTGCCAATTCAGGATTTGCATCTAGTGCAATTACCTCTCCTGACTCATCAAGCTCTAGACCTTCTTCTTCTAAATAGTTACATATGTACGTTTTAATAGCTTCGATTTCACGCTAAGAAAAAAAAATAAAATAAAAATAAAAATTAATAATTAATAATCTTTTTTATCTATAAAAAATTTTTATTTATAAAATTTTTACATTATAAAATTATAATTACCTTGTACTTGTCAGCATTATCAAAATCTTCTTCGCCAATAGCACGCTTTTTTAGTAAGTCAAGTCTAATAACATCCTCTGCTGACTTTTGTATCAAATAATAAACCCATTTTAGAACTAAAAAAAAAAAATTAAGAATTTGAATAAAAAGTAAAGTTGAAATTATACCTTTTTTATTAGTTCAATTGCATATTTTAACACTTTGGCCAAACGGAAATCTTCCTCTATGTAAGTTTGTATGATGATGAAAGTATAATAATAGATATTAAAATTAAAGTTATAAAATAACGTAAATATATAAATAACAAAGCTAAAAAAATACCTTTGACAGCTTTTTGTTTCGCTCTTTCAAAAGCGGAAAGCAACCCCGCAGTTGCTTTAGCGTTCAACAAGAAATTGTTTGAAGAGGACGGACTTACAGGCGGCATATCCTCTTCTTCTTGCTCTTGCTCTTGATCTTGATCTTGATCTTGAATTTGCTCGGGTAGTGAGGTAGAACTGATGTTTGCTGATGAAGAATTGGGAAGAATGGAATATAAAGAGGTGAAATTTTGATGATCATTTTGATGATCGTTTGGATTACTGCCGATCAATGAGTCATCTTGAACGACAGGTAGGATACAAATTTCGGGCGAAGCTACACGTGACAGACCTTCGTCAACATGCTAAAAGTTTTATAAAAATTTAATGAAAAAAAGGTTAATATAAATCGTATAATAATTATAATGATAAAAAATCAGATAATTTTTAAAAGATCATGAAATACATACTTCTATTGGAATCTTTTGACTTTCGCCAGCGAGTAAGTAATCAACCGGTGCACCCATAACGGTTATAGCTACAATACCGACCTAGAAAAATTTTTTTTAAAAAAAAAAAAAATTAATAAATAAATGAAATAATTCAAAATGAAATAATACAAATTGATAATAAATTTAATGAATTAAAAGAAATTTACTTGATTATATTGATTTAATAGATTATCATGACAACTTCGAGCGACCAATCTGATGTATTCACCTTCGGTGTCAAGCTTTACCGATTTTAATTCTCGGGCTTTGTACTTAGCTCGTTCATTACTGTCGAGAGCACAATATCTAGAAAATGTTGGATATATTAGAATTATTATATTACCGGTAAATGATTAATAAATGATGTTAACATTAATAACAAATTATTAATTATTAATAAAATATTATAATAATATTATAATAATATTATAATAATAAATATTCATTATTATTATAGATATTATCGATATTATCGATATTGATATATATTATTAACATTAATATTAACATCAATTATTATTAACTAATATATGTATATATATACCCTAATCGGCGGAAATGTATATAAGGTTCACCATTTGTTTTTATAAGATCATAATCATCTTTTACATAATCATCATCTTCAGTTTCACCATCATCAGAACTTATTCCATCATTATCAATAATTTTTGGTAATTTTTCCCAAGAAAAAGTCCTTTTTTCATCAGTATTACTACCACTAGCATTAGTTGGTATTACTTCTTTTCTTCTCTGTATTGAACCTATATATATTTCTAATCTTGAAGCAATCTTATAATGATGTGATAATATTTGTAACCTACGGACACGGGCTGGACCACAAGTTACTCGTAATATGATTTCTTGTGGATATGTACAACGTCTAATAAAAGATTAAAATATACATATATATTAATTAATTATAAAAATGAAAGATAATAGTAATAATAATTATTATTATTAAAATATATATATATAATACTTTTGTGATTGCCATCCTTTTCCATGTTTAACACCACTAACATCACTGCTGTTGTTATTATTATCACTTGGTAGTAGTTGACGAGGAGGATAATTATCATCACAGCTCGTAACGTGTATAACATCAAAATTAAGATTTTGTATTTGTGACATTGGTTTAGATAATCGGATAGAGTCGTATAAAGCAGAAGAATAGAAATTATTAAATTTCAACGATTGATTCGATAGATTAATTGATTCGGTAGCTCCTTTCTTATGATGAACAGTCCCTTCCGGATAGCTATCTGAATAGCTTATCACGGAAACAGAATTGTTGGGGATGGACGAAGGTTGATTGGAAGGGAGAGGGGGTAATAATAAATTTTTTTCCGTAATAGATTCGACAAGAATAGGTACTTCCTTGGTTGAAGTAATAATAACTTGATCAGTTTCCGCAATATCAGTGGAGGTAAGCTCAATTGTAGGGGATGAATCTTCCCGAGGTAGTACTTGAGGAGAAGAAATATGCGGTGAAAGAGGAACGTTATGTTGTTCTGACATGACCGAGTAAAAACAAATTTTTTAGGTTAGATTTTTTGGATTGAATTATATATATATATATATATATATATTTTTTTTGGATTAAATTTTTTCTTTTGATTTAAATAATCAGGGAATCAGGGAGAATTTAATTTAATTCATGTAATGACAATTACAAATGACGAATTCTAAATATAAAATTATTAATTCTAAAGACAAATATAAAGACAAATATAGACAAGTATAAAGACAAATATGAAAATAAATATGAAAATAAATATGAAAATAAATATGAAAATAAATATGAAAAAAAAATTTCAAAAGAAAATTTTAAAAGACAAGCTCAAAGACAAATTCAAGTTCGAAAAATCAAGTTCGAGAGACAAGTCCGAGTATATATAGAGATATGGATAAATATACATATACAGTGTATATACAGAATAAATTGCCAAATAGGAAAAATTGCGGCCGAGAAAGAAAGTACAAAAAAGAATACGCAGGTGACCAAAAAAAGAAGCAATAAAGCCAAATGATAGTCGATACAGCTTCTTTTAAGGTTTAGAATACATATGAAATGCGGAGGTTAACCTTACCTGAAAGAAAACTATAAATGCAAACCGTCTAAACTTAAACTTCCGTATTAAGAATCAAGTTGGACGAAAATGAGACGGTTTATAAAAAAATTTTCATATGACAAATGTAAAATATTATTCTTCTATTAAGTCTTTATAAAATGCACGTATATATTGTTTTTTTTTTTTGTTTTTTTTTTCTAGAAAAATTAATAATAAAGAGATCTTAATAAAATTTGAATCTTGAGAGGTTTTAAATCAGAAGTAATATTAAGGAAAATATAATTTTTTTTAAAGAAATGAAAAAAAAATAATAATAATAATAATAATAAAAAGAGAAAAAGAAAAAAAAAAGGGTAAAAACCAAGGTAAGTTCCGAGTCTAAATCGATAAAAACTCTAAAAAATATTTATAATGAAAGAGCGAAAACGACAATTTCCGGAAGAGAGGAAAGAAAGGAGGTAACCAAACACTAAACGGAACACACCTCCTTTTTGTCTCTTGTTTGTTTTATTCAATATATTTTTTTGGCGGGATGGACACCGATTACACAGAAAAGCTATACGCCGAACCGTTTGACACCGAAATTAATTGATTGGTCTGATAAAATCACAATAAATTGTTTTATTTTTATTAGCAGATCAAATTTATTTTATACTGAAATTTATACTAAAATTTATACTGGAAATTTAAAAAATTTCACAAACCGCTAAAAAGTTTGCATACGATTCGAAAAGGGGGGACAGTGAAATTGAGAGCATTTATTTATATTTTTTTTAAACTTTTTTTTTTTTTTCAAGCATGGCGTAGCGTAGCAACTAGCATGAGGGCTGTGCAAAAAAAAACATGAAACTACGGGTCAACAATTAATTTTAATTATAGCGGGCGATATAAGAACCAGCATCTGTACGTTTATGTACACGTAGGCACGTAGGTACGAGTAAGTACGAGTAAACATGAGTGACAAGAGTGACAAGGTAACAAGAGTAATAATCAATAATCAATCATCAATAATGAATCATTTCAAAACATGATCCCTGGTCTTAATCTTGAAAAACATTGACCTCCCTGAAAAAGTTGCTTGAGAAGATGCTTGAGAAAATGTAACGTCAATAAAATAAAAAAATCACCTAAATATTTAACTGATTCAGCTGAGTTAACAACTGAGTTAAACAATTGAGTTAGACAAACAACTGTTAAAACAACAACTGAGTTAAACAACAATTGTTCCGAGTTAAACAGTTAAACAACTGAGACAACTGAGTTTAAATCAAATCAAATATCAAATATAAATACAGAATACAATATATCAATATAGCTATATCGTTGATACATATATATCTATATATCAAATATACAAATCGATAGAGTAAATCGATATACCGTATATAGCTATATATCTATATACAGTATACGATCCCGTGAACTTACTGAACTTACTAACTAAACTTTAACAGAACCAAACCTTAAAAGAAAGATAATAAGATTGCCACCCCGCTATTTCCACTATCCCCAACTATCCCCACTACCACTATTTATTTAATCACTATTTACAATATAGTAATTTAATTACTATCCCCAACTATCCCCCACTATTTATCTCGTCAACGTGGAACCTGATGCTTAAACAAGAAACAAGAATCGAACCTTTCGTAAGAGAGAAAGTGTAACACAAGGCCGTAGTGTACGTCACACGGAGCACATTTACATGGGTTATGTGTGACCCTAAATTCTTTCTAATTCTTTATGATCTTTAATGTTTGATTGGTGAATTACCGGTTTTTTGACACATCGGGTATCTTCTACTTACATAATACATAAATATATTAAATCATTTCTTTATTCATCATTCGAAAAAAGAATCTTTAAAAGATAATAAAATAAACTTTATACTTTTTAAATCAATTTTGTAAACAATATGGCGTCATTAAATCTTTAACTAAATACAAAGGTATTTCCTAATTCAATAAATTTGATCAAATAGTTTATCATCCATCAAAAAAAATTTTTTTTCTAGTTCATTCATAAACTTAATAATAATTATATAATAATAATTAATTATTTGTAAAGAAATTAAGCTAACTAAAATACGATTCGTGAATAATTTATGCATTTACAATTTGCATAATGTGTATTGATTATCATTATTGGATAAATCAAAAAACCGGTTTTATGAAATTGGCGGGAATTATTTGGTGATCCGTTAGTCATTAGTTGTTCGATCAATGTCACATTTTTTCATTGATAAGTAACTATTTTTAGTTCACTTTTTAATTTTATAAGTGTAACAACCGATAGACCTTAAAATATTCTTATTAAAATTATTAAAAGTAAAATAAAGTCTATCAATATGTAACAAATATGTTAAATTATATGATATTAAATTACTAAAAGAAATGAAAATCAGATGATCATATCTGTGTAACTTGTTATGATGTGCCACGTTTTTTTGATGTGCTTCAAAATGCTGAAATGATGAGAACCACTCTTGCTTCAACAATTTTGTTCGCACTTCCTTCCTGTTAAATAATTAAAATTTCTAGGTAACATGTCAAAAACTTGTATTAAATTTTTTACTAATAAATAAATAAATATGTACTAATAAATTTTTACTTAATAAATATAGTATTTTTAATAATAATAAATAGTCTAATACAGTAAATATATACTGGTATTACCGTATTAATTATCAAACACCCCCCCTTGTCAACCATTCACTACTTATTTCAGAATTACAATTGTTGTTTGGCCTATTGTTCATTACAAACATATGAATACCCGTATTTATTGCTTGATTATGCCTGATCTTCGGAATGTTACAAGTCTATTATGGTTTGTCTATGAATTAGGTTGATCTTTGCACCCTAGCTTTTTGTCGCTCCATTATTTATGGTTAGACTATTATATATTTATTTTTATCGTTATTTTCGTTATATATACTATATTTATTTTCGTTATACGTACGTACGTACGTATCTGTTATATATCAGATATCATTATATACATACGCATAGATCATTATTATACGTATACTGTATTATTTATTATCTTTTTTTTTTATATCTGATATATATATCAGTATTTAGATTGTTACGTATTATGTGATTACTCACCGTTGGAGGCGTGTGTATGTACTTACGTACGTACGCACGTATGTACGTATGTATTAACAGTTAATACTACAGTACTATCAGCTATGATTCCTATATAGATGTAGTAGATGTAGTATTTATTATTTCTTTTTATTGGTCTTTCCAAAAAACTCTCCTTTTTCGCTTTTAAAGTCTTACTTGTTTGTTTGTTTGTTGCGTCTATGTTATGATTCTATATCATGATTCTATATCAGATATTATACATTATGTCATATTCTAATTTCTAATTAACCTCCTTGACTTGTTTCACTTCGATGCGTCTTTCGTTTCGTATAGAATTTATTACGCGCATATCCTATTTCGATTATGCACTTAATCCAAATAGACTAATTTTTTTTAATGTTGTTGAATGTGTTATCTTGCTTAAATTTTCCTTTGTCCCATAGTCAATCGACAATTCTGTCAATTCTTCGTTTTTTGTTTTATTATCGTTATCTGTTTGATTTCTGAAACAATTGTCAAAATTGACAATAATTGACAATATTACCCGATTTGTTCTTATTATCTGTTATTATTGTTGTTAAGTACGTACTTGGTACTGTACCTACTTACCTACCTACTTCTTTCCTCCCCTTTGTTTTTTTTTTCTCATGCACAACTTCTCGTTCTTGGTGATCTGTCCTCTTCGCGGTTCTTTATATTACCGTTCCCTTTCATTCTTACCCAATTAGGTCATTTTGTCTTTTTCTTATTATTTCTCTTTATAAATGCATGTCCACGTGACTCGTTTTCCCTTTGTATTATTTCTTGTTGCTGTTTTGCTTTAAAATTCTTTTTATCTCATGCTTTCTTTGTTATAATGCTGTATTTTGGTGCATATTATTGCGTGAATTTCATGCTCATCAAAGGAATTTCGTTCTTATGATGATCAAACCATTGTGTACTATATATTGTGACAATACTAGTTTATCATTTCTTGTGATGGTTCTACTTTCCGCTGATGTACATTGATTGTTCATCAAGTTTTCCCATATAAATTAATAATTTATACCTGTTCAAAAAACGCTTAGGGCAATAAGGTCCCGGAAAAATTATATTTATAGATTCGACGTAAATCTTTTTATAAATGACATCACTACTTTGCGGGTATTTGCCAAATTTATTCTAGTTTGCTATAAATGTTATTTTTATTACGTATTGATTATATTTGATGGATTTCTTAGACCTGAATCCTTTTTTCTAATATGTTTAGCTTATATAAAATAATGAGCAATTTTTTTTTAAAAAAAAAAAGTATTACGTGGAACAAATGAACGTAATATTAAATATCTATCTAAAAGCTGCAGTTATCTGCACTCATTTACAAACTTATACTGTATGATTTTCATTTCCCCGACACCTAACTCCTCCCAACTGCTAACTCTAATTGGACCAACCTTAGATGCCGCTAAATTAATAATGCTATATCAGTTATTATTGTATATATATTTATGTTGTAATTTATGTAGGTTTGGGATTCTTTAATTATTTTAATTGCTAAGAAATTTTCAAATTCACTTAAATTCGATACTGTATACAGTATGCGTACCTGTTTTCAAAATTTGTAGACAGGATGCAGTTCATATTTCAATGCCCGCTCTAATCGGACTTTTAGTTTTTACTAATCCGATTTTTTTGATTTCCCCACAGGGGATATTCATGAAAATCTCAATATCTTTTGGGAAACAGCAGTAAATAAGATTTTTTATATATAAAATACAGTTATCGTACGTAGAAACGGAATAGTGATCCGACTAGGTAACACCGTAGTTCAAAATCTGAGGCGGAGGAATTTCGCTTTGGCGCATTTTGCCTTTTTATCAAAAAAACAATTATTGTATAACGCATTATATTAAAAAGTAAACTTATATTTATATAGCGCTTTCAAGCATATCTCTTAATGAACTAGATAAAGAATCTGACTAGTCAGTTTGGTTAGACAGGTTTTTTGTTGGGTTTATTGAAAGAAGTGCTTATTAAAAAAATTTTCAAGATTATTTAAAATTTTAAATAAAAAATAACCAAATTTAAAAAACAACTACTCAAAGTAGTAAACTAAATATAGGCCGGAGCAAAAAGATTTGTACCTATGATTAAAAATTTTTTTTACAATAATTTTTAATTTTTAATTCAATATAATTCTTTTTCAATCCGACTTCTAAAATAAATTTAATTTGATTATTTTATTATTATTATTAATAAAATAAAAATAATTATTAATTATAACTTTTTAAAAAGAATTTTGTTATTTATCGCCACTGGTGATCATCCCCGGTGTTGCTATATCTCAAAAACGTACTAAGTAAACTGGATTGGGTACTCAAGTAAAAATGTTCAGAACCCCTGAAAACCTTATGAGAACTAAGATCGGGACCTTATATTAGCTCTATATTATATTATATAAAAAAAAATAATTCTCTAATTTCTAACCCTAACCCTAACAAATCTTAGGACTGGTGATATCACTACCGGTGGTAAATGCTAAATTTCTTTTAAAAATATTTACTATATAAATTTACTAGTAATTTATATATATACTGTACTGTATTTATATAGTAAAAAAATTAATTATCTAACTTTAAAGTCTAATTTCTTTACAACTAGTAATTCAAATTTGCTTAAGTTTTAACTATATAATAAAGATAAGTTAATAGAAATTATCCTGAAGATATCGGGAAAATTAAATAAGTGCAAACTTACAAAAATCTGCAAAAATATAAAATTTTGCAAAATTTTTTGCAAAAAACTATAAATTTTTTTATATTTTGAAATTTTGCACAAAATTGTGTAGCTATAGTAGTGAGTTTGAAGTTTTGTACAGATTTTATTTAATTTATTATATATTTTTTTTGCAAATTTGTGCAGACAGCACTAAAAATTTTTTTCCAATGGAGTAAAGCATTTATTTGAAATAAAAGTAAAAAATCCAATATAAATCTCTAATATTAAAAATTCTTATAACTTAAAACAAAAAAAACTTTTTGTACTAACTATTATTAACTAAATTGTTATATCTAATTTAATTTTGAATAAAAAAAAAAGTAATGTTAACTTTAAATAGCCTAATTATAAATAAAGATACTAAATAATAATAATATAATATGTATAAAGAGCTAAAAGTATCAAAATAACAAAATAATATTTTTTTTTTTTAAATTTTGGCAGTCTTGCCTTTACTTTATTAGGTTTAATAATTTTATACTTTAAAATATTAAATTTTTCAGAGGGCTATTCCCCTGACACCTAAATTACAAATATTAGCTCACCTAGTTGTTCTCTATGAATACCTATATGCGACCTGCTATAATAAGGTTTATCTCTATATTAATTTATCCTGCAAATAAGTTTATCAATACTTCATTGGATAGTTCTTATAGCCTGTCAAAACTGCTAATTTATTTTTTACCAATTTGCTCTTTGCCCACTATTTATCCAACTCAAAACTTCATTTTTCGCTATATTTAATATTGACTCTTATCTTGCTTTAGCATCGTTTATCTGTCTTTTTCTTCTGTGGGTCTTATCTGTTGGGTTTTTCTTTTTGTTTGCTCATTTTTTCATTTTTTCTTTCTTTGTTTTCTCTTGATATTTGCATTGTTTCCTCGTTTTTCTTTTTGCATTATACCATTCTCCTTCTCCCAAGTCTGTACTAATTTGCATCTTTCGACCCAAATCTCCTCATATATCCTTTTCATTCATCTCTTCCAAAGCCTTACTATAAAGTCTCTAGCTTGTATATTGGACATGAAAATTGGCCGTATTTCCTTAAAGTCCTCTTTTGTAATAAGGTCTTTTCTCTTCTTCGTGACTCTTTAGCGAGGCTTTCTTTTCCCATTATGATCAGGATTTTCTCTCTCTTTTCATCCAAGTTTTGCACTTCTTCTATTTCTTTAAGAGTCATCTCTACTTCTTGCTCTTCGAAATCTCGAATTAGCTTTATTGATACTTCTAAGTGTTCAATGCTCTCTGTTTTCTTTTTTCATATAATATATCTATTAGTTTTGTATACTTCAGGTTTTCTCTGATTGAGCTTTTCAAACACCAGCAAAGCATTGTTTATACACTTTAATTCAAAGAGCTGTATTGTATTTGATCTGAAGGTATGATCACGCTACTTAGTTCCACTCTCCAAGATTTTATAAAAAATTGGCTAATACTGTAGAGTTTCTCTTTCTTGATGTATAGTATTCTGACTGTTGTATAAAAATATCCATTTTACTCTATTTATAACTTTTCCAAACATTTTGATAAAAGAGTATATCGGTTTTTCTATAACTTCATTCTCTTATTTGTATCTTAGTTTGAACTCCTTCATGTATAGTACTGTGGGAGTTAGCAACTCTGTAGAACTTGTATCTTCTTTGGCTTTAAGATTTGCCAAATCATTAAAGATATCTCCTGAGTGACCTTTAATTTTTTTGAGATGCAGAGCTAATTGCTTTGTTTGACTACTTCAACTATTGTTGCGATTAGACCACTATTTTTAATCTTAAATCATTGTCTTGCTTTGTCTGCTTCTAGCCCTTTTTTGATTGCAAATATGGCTGCACTACTATTAGTTTTTATTTCCACTTCTTTTTTATTAGGTGTTACTAGTATTGCTACCAAGATTGCTACCAACTCTGCTCTCATTGATAAAACTCATTTTTCAGTGCTACAAGCTATTTGACGTAGGATTTGGTTATCTGTACTATTTCACAACTTATTTCCATTTTTGTAAGGCTTTCTGCTGTTCCAAGTGAGCTATCTGTATAAAAAACAACCTATTTAAAGCTAAATTCTGATTTAAGACCTCTATTAAACTACTTCTAAGTGTTCTATCTTCGACTATTTTATCTATTAAACATATTTTCCACCTTGTATACCTTATAACTAGTAATTTCCTTCTCTTAACTTCTGATATCTCTCTCACAGTTATTACTTCTTTTTTTATATCTATTTTAATAGCTTTTTTTAAAGAATATAATAACAAAATAATATTAACAAATTTAATAAATTTTTTTTTAAATAATTTTTACAAACTTGTTTATTAAATTTGATTAAGTTTTTGTTAAGTTAACTTTGTTTAAAGTTTTAAAAAAGCTTATTAAAAAATTTTTGTTTAATTTTTATTAATTTACTATATAATATAACATACAATGGCCAATTGATGATTGAAGGAGTTCTTTAATCGATACGAAATTCTTAGTAAGTTAGGAATCCTGAGAGAGATAAACAGTTGTTATAGCAGGTCGCATTGGGCTAAAAGCCTAGTAAGTCTTTATTAGAGTAAAGTGATATACTATTTTGATGTAGTACTTTGTATAATAGTCA